TTTGCTTTTCGTTGTTTCCTTGCTAGTTGTTCCGAGTACCGGCTACCGTTATCCATTTCAGGATCCGAGCCTTCCCTGGGACGATCGAGTCGATGACCTAGTGGGTAGATTGACTATCGAGGAGATCCAGGGACAGTTGGCCAAGGGTACTGGAGCTACTCCAGATATATCAAGACTCGATATTGGAGCGTACTCTTGGTGGACGAATTGTGGCCGTGGTGATGTCGGGGCAGGGAATGCGACCTCTTTTCCGGAATCTATTGGCCTGGCCGCTGCTTTCAGGTAAGTTCTTTTCCGATAAATGAGCCATGACTATTGATGGATTCCGTTTCATTGGGAAAGAAAATATACCGAAATTAAAAAAAAATTCATAGAAGTTTTAATGATGGGATTTATTTTTTGTACCTATTGTACCTTAGTCTCAGAAACGGGAATTTTTAGCTGAGCCAATCAGTAATACTGTTCACAGATCACCGTCGAAATTTGAGCCTTATAAGTCTTTCTTTGATCTTTTGATGGAAACTTAGGGATGCGAACCAAAAAATGATAATAATATCGTTTGCATTCATCGAAGTCCTTTGAATACAGATTATAACAAATACATGCCGATTTGCGTTCGGTGAAAAAATACCAGTATCTGTATTGAAGACTATGTTTTATTTCAGCCCTGATTTGATGTATGCCGTGGCAAGGGTTTCTGCCCTGGAAGCTAGAGCTAAAAATAATTATTTCCTAAAACATGGCCAATATGGTGTTCATAAGGGATTGAGTTGTTTTAGTCCTAATCTAGATATTTACAGAGATGCTCGATGGGGGAGAAATGAGGTCAGTTGTTGTTTGATGTTTTATCTGACAGTCTTGAAGAAGATAAATTGAACACAGTATAAAACATCAACGTATCACATAGCTGAAAAAGCTAGAATTATCATACCTCGCATCTCCCTTATCAGACAATATAATTATAACGTCGATTGTCATCAAAAATATTGAAATAGCCCACAGTTCAGTATTTAATACCAATCTGATTAAAATGCAGAACTGAATTTTTCGTTTTTTTTCTGAGGGTCACTGCAATTGTTTTTAAAAATTGTTCAGCCGACGTTCTCGTTTTGATACGGTTTGACCACATTCCGACGAAACGTATAACGGTTCGTTAAAATTAATCATAACTTTCTGTTTACAGGGAACATGGGGTGAAGATCCATTTCTCGCTGACGTTTATGCTCGTGTATTTGTTAAGGCAATACAGGGAGATAATCCAAGGTATGCTTTAATGACAGCAACCTGCAAACATTATACTGCTTCCGGGGGTCCAGACAGCTATCCTGTGTCCAGAATGAAATTTGATGCCAAGGTAAGTGGTCGATAACATTACAAATATTTGATTTATTTCTTTTTGAACAAAAACCATGTTTTACTTATTTCATTAATAAAATAATAAACCTCAAAAAGACCAAATTCAGTATAGTCCACACGTCCATTTGAGATGTCATCTTCAAAATATATTACAGGTTTCAATGCGAGATTTACAGATGACATTTTTACCAGGGTTTAAGGGGTGTATTGATGCTGGTAGTTACGGACTACTCTGTGCTTATAATAGGTAGATATAAACATATTTTATTCTTGTCCATCAAATATCATATTATTTGCCTGGATATGTCGTGGAAACTGGCGAAAGGTATAAATTAAATCGTCTTTTCTCTCCTTATTCAGCGGCGGAGGGGTGTCATTTGTCGCCCAAGAAAAATAGTTTGTACTCCCAATTATACCCCTAATTCATTTCTGTATACTTCCAAAATACCTTTCGACTTTTGTTCTTGTCTAATTCAATTTCAGTATAAACGGGGTGCCAGCCTGTGCTGATAAAACTACCCTAGTAGATGTTTTACGGTCTGACTGGGGATTTAAAGGATATGTTATAAGTGATGCTGGAGCTATTGAAGGGATGAAGACTGGTCATAATTATTATAATAACTCAGTAGATATTGTAGCGGGCAGTTTGAATGCCGGGTGTAATATCAATGCCGCTGGTGGAAAAACCAAAGATAAGGATAATGCTTATTTTTCTATGGGTAAGTTGGTCTATTGCGTCCAACATCATCCCTTGTGATAAATACCAATATTTAGGCTCTGAAAATGAATAACCTACACCTGTATAAAAAGCAACTGATTATTCGGACAACAGTACAACTGAACAAGTGATCGCAAATCGGACTTATAAAAACAACAGATATTCAAGTAAATCCATCATTATGCTTTCTGTCAGAAAATAATTTACAATTCTCCTACATAATTTTCAGCCATAACATTAACCAATAATTTTTCTGTATTTTAAACGGTGATGAGTATCCCAAAATTATAAGTTTCTAAGGACAAGCCATTGAGTAACACATTCCTTTCTAAATGCATCTATTTGGACTGTGGTTCATGTTTCAGTTAAGGCTATTCAAGAAGGCAAACTGACAGAGAAGATGGTTCGAGATTTAATTAAACCAACATGGTTCACGAGATTAAGGCTTGGAGAATTTGATCCACCAGAGATGGTACCATACAAACAGCTAGACCTGTCCATCATCCAAACCCCAGCTCATCGCATGTTATCTGTTGAGGCAGCCATGAAATCTTTTGTCTTGTTGAAAAATCGAGGAGATTTTCTACCAATGAAACAAACCAAATATAATAATGTAGCGGTAAGTATTGACCCAAGTCGTCTTAATACTTAGCAAGATTTACCATACTTGAACTTAGTAACCCGTGTGCATTGGTTGTTACAGTCAGTCCATGTCCTCTGTTTTCTCTTTATAAAGAAAAACATTGTTTAATGATCGTATGAGTATGTGTTCAGGTCCGGCCTCTGCTGCCTGGCGTCTCATCCTGCGCCTTTAAGCGTAGAAGGGTTTTGTTTGACATTTTTTTTCCAGATAATTGGACCAATGATAAACAACCCAGAAGCACAGACCGGAAATTACTCCCCCACCGTCATGCCTACCTATACCACCACCCCACTGGAAACTTTATCTAAATATTTAGCTCATTCTGTCACATCAACTAATGGTTGTCTTGGTGATAATAATTGTTTACAATATAACCAGACGGCGGTTATTCAGGCCGTTCAAAAATCTGACGTCATCATCGTCTGCCTTGGTTTAGGTAAATGACAATTTATTCTAAAATATATTCAAATGGACACTGGCAAATACTATTTTTGTCAGTCCACTCTCTTGTGTACATCCACAATCAGTGCATTTATACACAATATAAACAAATATATATATCAGATTTCGGGGAAGGGAGGGTTTGATTCTCCCAAATGTACAGGCCTAGGGTGGAGCAACCACTTTATTCAGAAATTAGGATTAAGGGTCTTGATATTGGGTTTTCTTCTGTTCTTATTCTGATCTTCTGATCGCCCGGTGGGCGAGAAGTATAGTATCTGTTATGTGCTGATTGTTTTTAGTTTACTATGAACAATATTATCATTTAAGTTCTTATTTTTTGAATATGCAACTATCATTTTCTGCTTATAGACATGGGGGAATTTCTCTTGAAGGCTCTTATAGTGGTCATGAACTATCTTGCTTGCTCGATTGCTGGTTGTATTAAACGGGACAACAAAGGGTGCTATGCATACATTATGATGAATATTTAGTCCTATAGGTCTTGCTGTATTCAATGTCTCAATCCAATGGGCTTCCCTAGATTGACGGAATTTGGTAGTTTCATCTTCGGGCAAGTCAATTTCTATACGCTCAATTGGGATTAGGGCGAGATCGTCTTTTGAATGGTCGTCGAGGTTGAAATGATTAGAAACAGGCCTGTCTTTCTTTAATTTGATGTCTGACCTATGAGCATTAAAGCGAGTTCGTAGATTATTCTTAGTTTCTCCTACATATTGTTTGGGGCATTTCTTGCATGAAATTAAATATATTACATTCGAATGTTCACATGTTAGATGTTCCTGGATCGGGTACCTTTTATTCGTAGAGTTGCTTACAAAATAATGAGTTTCTGATATAAAGGGACATGTTTTGCATCTACTGGACAAACATGGAGCACTTCTTAAACCTGGAGGTACTTCGGCATAAAGTCTGTTTTTAGCTGCTATCTGTGCTAAGGTAATTGTTTATGTTTCGTAAAAATCGTTTAGAGTACCCACGCTCTTTCAGTTTTGAGAAAACAATCGTACAGGCTTGGTTGAAATCAGAAGATCTTGTACAAATTCGATGAAATCGTAAAACTTGTGACTTAATTATACCAGAAAAGGGGTATGCTTTGGGTGAAAGGAGCTTTTGTGCAAGAGTTGATGAGTATCAGTTTCTTTGAAATACACTTTAATATCCAGTTTATTTGTTTCTGCTATGGAATCTCCCTTAAAGACTGTGGTATCGAGAAAGTCTATGCTTTTGTCACTCACGTTTGCGGTTAGTTTGATAGAAGGATGGTGGTTGTTGAGAATTTCAAAGAAATCCCAAAACTGTTCGATAGAATAAGTCCAAACCATAAAAACGTCATCCAAAAAGCGTCCGTAAAAAAGTGGGTCAAATGGACAGAGGGGCAACACCTCACGTTCCCACTCTGCCATGAAAAGGTTTGCGTACGAAGTTTGCCCATTGCTGTCCCTGAAGTTTGTAAATATGTTTTACCATTAAATGAGAAATCGTTTCGACTAAGACAAATCTCTAAAAGCTGTAGAAATTGCATCGTCGGGTCTGTTTGGATCTGGGTTTCTATTAAAAGTTTTACGAACTGCCGTTAAACCAGTAGTGTTATCGATATTGGTATACATAGAAGAAACGTCGATAGACATTAAAATAGCATTAGAGGGAACTCGAAGATTTTTTATTTTATTGACAAAATCGGTTGTGTTTAAGGTAGGCGCGATGTTGACATGCTAGAGGTAGTAATAAATGATCAATGTATTCTGACACTGCATATGACTCACTACCACAGTCAGATATAATCGGGCGGCCTTTAGGGATTTTATTCGAGATAAACCACTCCTTGGTTGGTTTCTTATGGATTTTAGGCAAAGTGTACAAATGTCTCTCGCGACAATCAGGTTTGACAGGCAGTCATATTGTTTCTGTTTGAGATAACTAGTTTTGACTAAATAGGCAAGAATATTGTTAATCATGTTAGCAGTTTCTTTGAAAATTGGTTTCGGTAAAATGGCATAATGTTTAGGATTATTCAGTTGATTCTCTGCTTCTGAAACGTAATCCTCCTTATTCAGAATGACACAACATGAACCCTTGTTACTCTTTTTAATAACAATGCTATCGTCTTTCTAAAGTAAGTTTAACGCTTCACGTTCCACTCGTGTGAGATTAGGCTTTTCGTGTGTTATGGAAAGGTTCACTGTTTGGCTATTCATACTCGCAAATGATTTCAATATTTCAGGATGGATGGCGGCCTGAGGGGGTGTCCACGTGGATTTAGGAATAAACATTGTTCTAGCACCACGTGGGGGTGGTTTCGAAAAAAATATGTCCAGCTAAGATTTCGTTGAAATCGTCAATGGATGGTCGGAGATAATTCAAGTTAGCTATCTTTGGTGTGGGAATAAATTTAAGTCCATGGTCTAAGATTGAATGCTGAAGGGGTGTGAGAATTTTGCGGCTCAAGTTAACTACAGTTTGGCCTAGCGGTGGCCTCTCAGTATTTTTATCCCCAGTAATTAATTTAAAGACTTACTCGATGCTTGAAGCTGGTGTATCCAAAACAAATAAATGCTGTTTGCTGTTTCTGGAGACCAATGAAGATTATCAACTGGTTCGAATTCTTCTTCGTAGGGTGGTAAGATTGTTGCGCTGTTGATACTGGACTCCATCATCATGTTGTTGAGAGTGCTGAGGTTCTGTTGTGCTTTCTTCGAGATTTTATTTGAAATGGGTATGCATGTGAAGAGGATCTTGGAGTTTGGGAAGGTTTTGTTGGCTGTGGCGATTAATTTCTGGGCTTGGTTAAAGGAGGTCTTTGGTAGCTGATCACGGTTGTTGAGGCCTACATGAAGAATAATGGTAGTAGGTTTGGGATCATGGTCGTATGATTCCAGGATTGACTGTATGTGATGGATTTGGGCACCGGGGTAAGAATGTATTTCAGTGTCTGAAATGGTTTTGGTAATTCGATTCAGGTTAGATGATCCAATAATTAAGGTAGATTTCTTTAGAGCGGGTAGCTTCCATAATGATTTGTCCTTGGTTTGGTGATAATACGGTTTGGTAGCGGATATAATGGTCGTCGACGGTGTGATTGGTACTGGTTTGGTAGTTGTTAGAATTGTAGCATTGGGAACGGACTGGGATCTAGTTCGAGGGGGGGAAGGTCTGGATATACGTCTCGACTTCGATGGAGACTGAGGGGTGGTTTGCTGGTCCATAAACGCACAGAAGGAAGAAAGGTTGGCGGATCCTGGATCACGTGGTGAAGATTCAGATGGTGTGGAAGGGGAAGACGAGTCTGAAAGTGAAAAGAGAAGGGGAGTGCCCTCTCTACGAGAGCGTTTACCTATGTTTGCTGGACTAGGAGTAGGTGAACTTCGGGCTCGTTTAGGGGTTTGGTTCGGCAACGTGGTGGCTCTAGATGGTGCAGGTGTAGTGTCCATTTCAGTTGGTAGAGATATGGTTACTCTGGTTTTTGTTTCGTTGATTGTTTGGTAGAATTTGGTGATTACAGCTTGAGTGAGACGTTTCCCATAGGAGCGGCGGGCCCAGGCAGCTGATGATAAAGACTTGGTACGAATGGTGGTCAGCTTCTCTTGAAGTGTGGTTTGGTAATGGTCGATCAGGACCTGCGTAACCCTAGAGAGCCATGTCCGATTGAGGGATCTAATATTCGCGCCAACAGCTGATGTTTTCATTGCTGGACGGATAAAACTATCCAACTCAGAGACTTTGCGTTTGAAGGTAAACGCTGGTTGGCCTTGCTGTTGAAGGGTAAGGATTGCCAAATGATGGAGGCAAAGGGTTCTTCCTCCTTATGAGTGGGGACTGGTTGGCGTCGGTGGGCTGGTAGTCGTTTCTGTTGTTGGTCAGGTCGATGGTTACCTCTTGATTGGTAGGTGTTGTAGGTAGGTCGGCGATGGGGTGGGATATAGCTGGATGGGTTGGTTGGTGGTCGGTGATTGGTAGGTGGTAGAGGTCGATGGAAGACAGGGCCGTTGTAGGGTACGTGATATTGGTTTGGTTGACGATTAGTGTTTCTATGTCTGGCTTCTTGCCAGTGGTTGTTGTAGTTGGGGAGCATAATGAAAATAACTATTTTTACACTACCTGAGTGAACGTACTTATAGCTAATGTTCTAAATTTTCATAACGACAGGAAATGACGTAGAAAAAGAAGCTCATGATAGAATGAATATATCATTTCCTGGTCACCAGTTAGATATTTTGAAGGATGCTGTAGACAATAGTAAGATCAA